GTTATTTGTGGCTCGTGCAATGTGCAATATGTCAAGAATCTTCTGGCATATGTTAAAGAGGTATCATATTTTTTCAATCTTTCACCTACCAGACAACAAAAGTTAGAGGAACACATTGAATGTACTGTTCCAATAGCTGTTAAAAAAAAATTAAAAGATGTTTGCAGAACACGTTGGGTAGAAAAAGTAAATGGTTTAGATACTTTTCAAGAACTTTTTATTCCTTTGGTCTCTTGTCTTGAAGAAATGTCTTTAAATTCCAATAAGAGTTTTAATCATTCAACAGCTTCTAGTGCATCATCCCTTCTGAAACTAATTACAGGTTTTGATTTTATTGTTGCTATGTGCATAACAAGAAATGTGTTTGACTTAACTCTTCCCATAACGCGAATGTTGCAGTCAAAGAGTAATGATATTTATGATGGTTTGAATCTTATTCGGGCGTTAAAAGATGTTGTGATTTCACTTAGAAAGATCGTTGATCAACACCATAAAATGTGCTATGAACAGGCTTTAAAAATTGCACAAAGTATTAATGTAGCTGAAGCAAAGCCAAGAACTTCATTTATTTCCAAAAACAGAGATAATACTCCTTCTGAATCTATTTCTGATTATTTTAAGTTAGTTATCACGATTCCTTTATTAGACCATCTAAGTGTTGAACTAGACACAAGGTTTGATGATACTACCTTAAAATGTTATAAAGCACTTGTGCTAGTTCCTACAAAAATGATTTCAGTAGTGCAATGTTCTCATGACACCAGTTGGAAAGACTCCATCATATCTTTCAGTGACTTTTACGCAACAGACTTACCGAATCCGCTTGCTTTGTCTGGTGAGCTTGATTTATGGGAAGCCTTCTGGTTAAATTTTGAAGGAGATGTCCCTTCTAATATTTCCGAGACGTTAAAAGCGATAAATTTTCCTGGTTTTGAAAACATAAAAGTTTGTCTTAAGTTACTTGCTACCTTTCCATTAACTTCATGTGAGTGTGAGCGGACATTTTCTTCACTTCGGCGCCTAAAAAATTATATGCGAAGCACCATGGTTCAGGACCGTCTAAATGGTTTAGCATTAATGAATATTCATTCAGAAATAGTTATAGATATCAATAAAGTCATTGATAAGTTTGCCACTAATAATCGTAGATTAACTTTCAAATAAATATAAAATATATTTAAAAAAATTTTTTTTTTAATAAAAAAATGCAAAATACTAAAAAAAAACAGTGCAAAAAAAGTCAGCTTCTTTTGCCAATGGTAAAAAAAACGGCTATTTTCATAGCCACACACTTTTATAAAACATTATTTGGCATAAAGGAATTATTAACATACATTGAGTTGCATACATGTTGGTTTCAGGTATATCGTTTTTTTTATGCTATGTTGAAATGATTATATTGTAAATGTTTTATCTTTTGAACTAATTTTTTCAGATTTTATATATTTTGCAATCATCAATAGAATTAAGATTTTAAAATCTACTTTTGCTATGCAAAATAAAATACTAAGATTGTGGCAATTTCTGTATATATAATTCAACTTTAATTATTATAATATATAGTTATTTCTGTTATTTATATTTGTTACAATATAAACAAATTATATAATTATTTACAATAAAAATATAAAATGTGTAAGTTTATAATTTAATAATGAAATGTGTAAATCTAGTTTGTCATAATAAGTTTGTAAATATTCTATATAAATCTAGTTTTTTTCTATATAAATCTAGTTTGTCATAATAAGTTTGTAAATATTATGTAAACTTAATTTTACTATGGTAAGGTGCCCAAGCGATATCCTTGCGTATTTTTAGGCCTATATATATATATATATATATATATATATATATATATATATATATATATATTAACAGGGCCGTCACTAGGAGAGGGGGGTGTCTAACCCCTTACCAAAACTTTGTTGAAAAATTAGTCGGCAAATTTGGACTTGTAGTCTGCAAGTTTGGAACTATAGTCGGCATATGTCAGTAAACGAGAATCATACGTCACCTTCTCCCCCCCCCCTCCTCCTTTTTTATCTTCGGGACGGCCCTGTAATATATCCCCTCCAACTCCAGAATAGTTGAGGGGGGGAGGGGGGAGAATGAAATGTTGCTCGTAAAAAAATCAGATGTACCCAAATAATTTCCTGGATCCGCCCCTGTAATGGAATTAATTCCATGTTTACTTGTCTGTTTTAGTGGGAGAGTTAAGTTGTTATAAGTGATTGATCTTCTTTTTTTAATCTGATTTTCAAGAATTAAAATCTGTAATACTAATATTACTGAAAAGTAGTATTTTATGTTTTTGTAATACAAAGTATACAAAAACATAAAATACTATTTTTTTAAAAAAACAACAACAACAAGCTATTTATTTTCCTTAAATCATTTTACAATAGTTTTGATAATAATGATAATAATAATAGAAATAATAGCAAAAATATATAATAATAATATAAAATAAAAAAAAAATAGCTTTACAAATTATAGTAATAGTAGTAATAAGTATGTTTACAATAATTTCAATGAAAAAATAATAATAATAACTATTATTATTATAAAAATAAGTTAATGATTTATTAGGATGGTGTCACTACAGAAATCCGATTAAAGGAGTGACACCAATTTTTGATATAATATAAATAATAATAAGCAAAGACACACACTGAAATACATGGACCGTAAACACACAAACCAAAGTACATAAAATATACATCTAAACAAACATGTAGAAATCAATTTGCAGGTTTACTAATAAAAAAAATAAACAAAAAGTGCTGATGAGAATTGTAGTAATTACGAAAAAAAAAAAAAAAAAAGATGATGCCAAAAATCATAAGGATAATGCCAAAAAGTAAGACTAAAAAGTTTTTCAGAATTTTTTTAAATTGATATTGTTTAAGATGGAGTAAAGTTTTTTTAGGATATATTTTTTTGGACCCATTCAAAATGCATGTAAGGCTCCTGTTCCATTCACAGATGCACTGATAAACAATAGAATGTTTACCATACTTCTGGGTTTTAAAAGATGGTACATTTAGTTTTCCATTGTGTATATTCCTAGTCGAGTAGGAATGTAATAGTCTACTTAAAAAAAGTATACAAAAAATAAAATACTATTTTTTGAATAAAAAAATACTATGCATACTGTACAAATTCACAAAAGAAACACGTTACACAAGTTGTAATGAAGCTTATTAGGTAAGTTCTTATCTTGATCTAGTTCCACAAGAAACTAACAAAAAATTTCCATTCAAATAAATAAAAAGTTATCATGTATTAAAACAGCTGAATTAATGTCATAAAAAATAAACTCTGTATCTTTATTGACATTTAATTGAAGTATTAAATAGTTTAATAATGGGTATGTAAAAAATTCATTGTATTATTTATTTGTAAATAAAATATTGTGTGAAATAATATATACTTCAGAAATTTTTACAATATAAATAATGTTAAATATTAAAAGTCTTTGTATATTTAACATTACTTAGATACAAAGACTTTGTATATTTAACATTACTTATATTGTAAAAATTTCTGAAGTATATAATATTTCACATAATATTTTATTTACAAATAAATAATGCAACAATGGGTTTTTTTTAAATACCCAATAATAAACTATTTAATAGTTTAATTAAATTTGAATAAAGATACATAGTTTATTTTTTATGAGATTTAATTCAGATATCTTTTTATTTACTTGAATGGAGATTTTTTGTTATTTTTATATTCTTGTGGAACTAGTTCTAGACGAGAACGTACCTAATAAGCTTCATTATAACTTGTGTAATGTGTTTCTTTTATGAAATTGTATAGTATGCATAGTGTTGTATAATATTGCATAGTATTTTTTTATTCAAAAAATAGCCTTTTATTTTTGATTAAATAAAGATTAAAATTGTATTTCTTTTGTATTTTTTTGATACACATTTAATAGTGTTTTTAATAACTACATTCATTAAGAAGTTACAAAAAGTTACATTTATTAAGTATTACTTAAAGTAGGTACGAGAAAATCTGTGTTTTATGGTACCGAATTTTGTGCTAAAATTTTGTGCCAGCTTTTTTGAACTTATTTTTTAGGTAGTGTCAGGCGAACGTTTTTTTGTGGTGTTTTTTTTTGAGAAACATAACTAAACTTAGATTGTTTTTGAAAAAAGTTTAACTTAATTTATATGTAACATTTATATGTGGTTGGTAATTTTTGTATTGATTTTATTTGCATTAAAAACTTGATTTTTATTCTCACATTAAATTATTGTTGAAGGAATGCTTAGATAGTTTGCAAACCTACCCAGATAGTTTTTTACATATACTTTTTATCTATCTACCAAATTTCATTAAAAAATATTATTGAGCAGATCTCTATAAAAGTGAGTATTAATTTTTTTTGTATTTATTAATACTAGTTTATATAGAAAAATACCATTTATTTTAGTATGACTTGTTTATAGTTTCTAAAATTTTATTGGTTCTATTGAAATTAAAAATATAAACGTTGGCTACTATATTTCTAGCTATACCTATAGCATGGTATTTTAAAAGCAATTTTTTATTTTTATGTAAACATTTGCAATGTATTTTTAAAATTTTCTTTATATTATCACATGTTTTATGTTGTCAGTATACATCTGCATTTTTGTGTGTGTGTATAATTAGTGTTTTTTTATTTATGCAATAACACAGTATTATTAAAAATATTTTTAATATTATAAGTATAATATTGTTTATAAGTTAATGTTATATAATTAATGGGTAGTTATATAAGACCTTCTTTATATTTTTTTTAAGACAACAATGGGCCCAAAAAGCAATCTTATTTTTTGTTCATAGTGCAGTTAAAGAGTATTTAGATACACACTTCTTATTACCTGCCAAAACATGCAGTTGTTGTAAAAATGGACATGTACCTTTTTTTATTCATTGATAGTGGTAAGTCATTTATTATAACTATTCAACTAGCCAATGACTTATTAAATTTAAATATTTGTAAACCACAAATCTTTAGTTTACTAAATTTAAAGTTGCAAAACTAACTTTTTTTAAAGTTGCAAAACTAACTTTACTTTTAAAGTTAGTTTTGCAACTTTACAAGGGGTAGTAATTGTTTTAAGGAATTTTGTAATGAATCTTTTGTGTGGATTTCACCAATCTTACCTGTTTTTCCATCATTGAGTCCTACTCCAAGTAGTTTTTTTACTACTGTTTGAAGAAGTTTAGATAATTTATCACTTGAGCACATAAGTAATTTATCACAACTAAATAATGAGCCTTTTTTTCTGAACAATCAAGAGGACAAATGAGCCCTAGAAAAAAATGGTTTGAATACCAGATTGTCTTATTTAACTTCTCGGCTTGCTGTCACATCCAGCATGCATTGAAAAAAATTAGCTACTGTGAGGGCAAAATTGAAAAGCATGCTATATAAGTTGAAAGTTCTGAGACAAAGCATTACACGAAAGAAAGAAATTATTAAAGTTTTGAGAGCTGAAATTAAAAATCTTAAACAAAAGTTGCAAACATTTTATTACAATAGGATAATAGGCAATCCTTAAGTTTAAAAAAAAGGCAATAAAGTTTAAGAACTTAAAAAGCTAAAACAAGTTAAAGTTGGACATAATAAAGATTTTAATGCAAATAAAATGCTGATAGCTAGTTACAAAAACAATATAATCCAGATGGAGGAGGATAACATTACCATCGTGAATAGCTCAGAAATGATAAGACTTATACATTACAAATGTATTAGTGATAATTTTGGCATGTTATTGGAAAATGTACCAACATGTAACAAACCATTTCTAATGGAGAAAATTATGCCGTATTTAAGTGTCATTTTTAATGATGTTCCCCATGATTGTATGATTAAACAAATGGCTCGTGAGCTTGGCAGTATAGCAGATTTGCAAGCATCAGAATGGGCTATCATTGATTCACGTATTACTCTTGTATTTGATGCAAAAATCCAAGAAGGTGTACATATTAATAACATTCACTTAACATAACAAAGAATAAATGCCAAGTCATTGCTCTGGATCAATTAGCTGGAGGTACAGCTGATACTTACAAAAATTATATATGTAAAGCAATTGATCATCTAGCTTTTATTTATTCAGATTTCCACTTCGCTTCTTGTAATGATAGCCGTCGATGGATCATCTCAAACATATCAAATGCAATGTCAGACAGAATTGCAGTTTACCATCTTATTATAAGCAAACTGTGTGACACTTGGGGGAAAAGTCTGAGCTGCCATTTACACACTCTTGATACAATTGCTACTTCATGTTTGGCTATAATTGTATGGCATTTTAAATTTTTGGCTATGAACAAGTTGAGTTTTGAACATGGCAAATGTGATCCAAAAGAATTTATTAGTTTTTAGATGATCAAATACTACCATGATGTATCATTTCAAGGTATCGAGGAAATTGTCTTCATATTCTTTTTCATTTTTGTTTTATTTTTATAAAACATAATGAGTTTAAGCATTTTTTAATAATTGGAATAGTAAAATGCGGAATTCTACATACAGTTCTTAGAGCAGCATAACGAAACAGTTTAAAAAAAAAAAGTGTGTGCTTGCATTATTTGGAAAACCATCTCCTTAATAATCACATAAAACTTTGTCATCCAGGATCCAGCCTAGATGACAAGGTTTTATGTGACTGTTGAGGAAGCAAATTTCGACCATTTAAGTGAAATCCAGGTGTTTATACTAAACACCTGGATTTATTTTAAAATATAATAAAATTTAGAATCGGCATTTTTTAGCAAAATGTTTTGCTAAAAAATGCAGATTCTAAATCAAATCCTGGTTCAATTTTTAAAATGATCTTGAACCAAATATTTTAGATCCAATAAAAAAATTTTGCTTGATTGATGAAAACTTTATCAAGATGACTTCTGCTTGTCTTATTGTAGTGGGAGATGTCATAAGTCATTAATATAAGAGATAAATTTTCCTATCTATAATCCAGACTCTCAAGGAGGAGATAGCAAGTGCAAGGCTTCACAATATAGATAGTGAAGAGTTAATAGAAATGTTTAGTATAAAAAATGCAGATTCTAAATCAAATCCTGGTTCAATTTTTAAAATGATCTTGAACCAAATATTTTAGATTCAATAAAAAATTTTTGCTTGATTGATGAACACTTTATCAAGATGACTACTGCTTTTCTTATTGTAGTGGGAGATGTCATAAGTCATTAATATAAGAGATAAATTTCCCTATCTATAATCCAGACTCTCAAGGAGGAGATAGCAAGTGCAAGGCTTCACAATATAAATAGTGAAGAGTTAATAAAAATGTTTAGTGAGGCTAAAGAAAGATCGCCTAATGCAACAATTTGTTATATTTCATACAAATTAGGATCAAAAAAGAATCAAACTTTTAATTACCTAGATAGTTTAGATCAATTATCTAGAGAAAATGTAGTTATGTGTAAAATGTGGTGTAAAATGTAGGTAAGTGTAAAATAAAGTTAGGTGTAAAATAGTGTAAGATGTAGTTAGGTGTTAAATGTGGTGTATTCAGACAGGCCATAAAAAGAGGATGATAAATCAAATAAAGCATAATGATAAACTAGTAGATATTTCAAAAAAACATGCATGCAAATGCCAAAAATAGAATGAGAAAGACAAAAAAAAGTTAAAATGACATTCGCATGAACTCTCTTACAATGAAATAAAGAGTTTATATACATTTTCTACCAAACTACTTGATGACTAAGGTGATGTTATGTCAGATAGAATTGTTGGGCAAAAACTCTGCCATGAATGGTATGATAGTGAGTATTTGAAGTATGTCATGTATGATGGTAGAGAAGAAAAACTTAAAAAAAACAAAACAAGGCAAAGTTTGCACTATTTCTTACTGGAATAAAGATAATACTGATACTTAAGTTGTTGACTACAACATGAAAAAGTTACAGCTTGCTGCTGATGTTGGACCAGGAGAGTTGATCTTTTTTTGAAGTGTAATATGTAACAAATTATGATAATATTACTTGTAATGATACTTTCAAAATAGATACCGCAAGTGATGAAACTTGTAAAACAAATACCGCATGTGATGAAACTTATATAAAAGTTTATCGCAAGTTATAAAACTTGAAAAGATAGTCATATCAAGTCCGGTATGCCAGGTATTAAACCATTTGTTTTTGTTTCATAAGTTTTAGAGTAGAATAAAAGTATTTAACTTGGACCACAAGTGACAAGTGACAAGACCACAAGTGTTATGACTTGCAAAATGTTTTGAAAGGCGGCTTATCTTATCATAAGACTAATATTTTGGAAATGAAATATACTTATTTATTTTGTTTGTTAAAGATACAATTATTTTTAAGAATTCAACATCTTTTTATTTTAGGATGTAGGTAATCATCACCACCCTATTCAACAAACTTCTCAACTTAACCAAAATTTACAAAAGGACTTTTTTTTTCAAAAGTAGGATTGGTTGTGGTCTTCAACTTTACCTTCTAGGTTATACCTAGTGTCAAAAGCCTAATTCAGGTTTTAAATTGTTAACTCATTTTAAAATAGTTATAATTGTTATTATAAAGATTTATTTATTTAATTTATTTATTTTTTCAGGTTGGGGGTTGGGGGCACTCGCCCCTTCCACCACCAATAAATGAAGTTCTTGTAAAAAAAAAAAAATTATTGTTTTTTATACTGTGTACTAGTTTCACTTATTTTATTAAATGTAGAAATATTTAACTAGAGAATTAAATATTTTTGAAATTAGGGTGTGTTAAACCATCACCACTTATCCACCACCAACTTTAATATATATCAATCATTGTTGTTGGTCTGGAATAAAATTATAACATTTTTTTGTATAAAAAAAATTACTGTTTGCTCAAAAAAAAACACTCTTTATCGAAAGAAATATGCTTATTTTTAGGATGAAGGTGGTGGTTTGGCACCCCCTCTAGCCCCAGGAAACGTCTAATAGGTGAAGGATGTTATAAATTTGTAGCCCACTGTTACACCTATCTTTTGATACCAAGTTATAGGTATTTAGATAAGAATTGACAAAGTTTTAGCAATTTAAGTGAAGAAAAATTAAATTTTGACTACAGTTTCTTTAACAAATCCATATATAAAAAATTTGTGACTAAAAACGTCATAACTTTTTGTAGAATAGTTCCATTTTAATAATTTTTTCACCTTTAAAATACTGTACTGAAACCCTTTTTAATAATATATCACAATCTAGCCTTTGATAAATTTAAATTTTCAATCCACATGTCTACTTACAGGGTTATTTATTCTTATATGCGCGTCTATTCATTTTTATATGCGCCTTTATTCATTCTTATATGCGCATTTATTCATTTTTATATGTGCCTTTATTCATTTTTATATGCGCATTTATTCATTTTTATATGCGCCTATGGATGGAATAGAAAATAGCGGTACCAATCATAAAACAAGTAAAAAATGTTAATAAAGAGCACATTGAAATGCTTAAACATTTAATTAAAAGAAATTAATTTACAACAAGCATTTCCACTTCTCTTAATTTATCGAAGCACACAGTTCAAAATTTTGTTGTTAAGTTAAAAAGAGGATAATTCGAAGACATGACTGCACTTAAGTCGTTTTCTGATAAAAAACAAGGTAAAAGACCTATAAACTCTCAAATAAAAAATATTATCGAATTATGCGTACAAGAAAACAATCTTTGCACGCAAGAAACAATAAAAAAAATATCATTCTGCAGCAGGCTTCAACATGTTTCAACCTATTTCAAGAAAACTCAAATGCTCGGATTTATCAAGAAAACGTGTTGTGCGTGTGCCGAAGAACAAAACTCAACACAAGTTATTAATGCACACTATGCATTTGCAAGCGAAATAAACAGAATTTTAGATGAAATACTTATTTATTTGGATATTGCTAATAAGTATTATATTACATAGTATAGCTATTAAGTATTGTAGCTATTAAGTATTGATATTAATAATAGTTATAAATAATCAAATTTAAATCTAGATAAATGAATAATTAGATAAATAATAACTAAATCAATCAAGAAATTTAATAATAAAATTACAAAGAACTAATACTAAATTAAATAAACTATCATCAAAAACAAAGAACTAATACTAAATTAAATAAACCATCGTCGAATGTAAAAAGTCTTCGTTTTAAGTATTTTTAATCTCGTTTACCTGGAAATAAGAAAAATTTGTTTTGAAAAAATAAACTGTTTTTTCAAAACAAATTGTTTAAATGATTTTTTTCTGCTATAGTTTCGCAGTGGAAGCTATTAAAGTTCCACCACTGACATGGAACCATCAAGCCATAAGAGTCTTAAAAGAAGGAAGAAATGTATTATATAAGTGCAAGGAAGTGCTAGATAAATTATAATATTTAGACAGATGTCCAGTATTGAGAGGTGGTGTTAAAGAGGGGAGTATTATATAGCATATAAAAATGAATAAATGCGCATATAAGAATGAATAAAAGTGCATATAAAAATGAATAAATGCGCATATAAGAATGAATAAATGCGCATATAAAAATGAATAAATGCACATATAAGAATGAATAAAGGTGCATATAAAAATGAGTAGACGCACATATAAGAATGAATAACCCTGTAAAGTAAAAACAATAATTTGCTTTCTTATACAATACATAGTTATATAATGTAGTTAATCTTAAATTTTTCATTATTTTGTAAGTTAACTGATATAAATATACAAATAGTTTCAAATTAACTTTTATTGTTTTAATTCTGAAAAATTTTATTTATTTTTTCTCTGTTACCCATAAATAGATTGCTATTGTATCTAAATGGTGTCATTTAAAGTGACTTGAACAAGACAAGGTGTCCTCTGATACTGTTTCTTTAGATTGAGTCAAAAGAAAAGTTATGAGATGGCCAAAGAAAGCAGCTGAAGTAAAAGTAAAGTGAGCAGGTGAAACCTCAAGTTAATTTGTATAAATTTTAAATTCTTAAAAACAGCAATAGAGCACCTAAATTTTACACCAGAACTTAGTCATAATAAACAAAATATTGATTTGAATTAATTATACACTCAGTCAGTATTTAACTTTATTTAGCAAATGATTTACAGTTGTTTCATTAAAATGACTGTAATTCATTTGCTGTTACAAATTATGTCAGCCTATTTATTCAGTCTATAAATACTTTTAAATGTTTTAGATTTGTTGCAGCATAACAAAATTGTTATTTAATTATTCAAATGTTTTAAAATTTTATTTTTGTTACAAATTTTTGTGAATAAAAATATTTTTATATTTGTGATTTTGCCATGATTCAATCAGAACTATTTATTTAGACTGTTTAAATAAGTTTGGAATTTTTAAAGCTTGAACTTGGTGAATGCAGTAAAAAAAAATACACATGTAGTTAAGATCTTATGTGTAAACATTTCAATGTGCCTTTTATATATTTATCTTTTTTAGGTCAACTCTCACGTGCTGGTGGAAAATTACCAAAACAAATGTTAAGGACTTAATTCATAAGTAATTTTTGTACTTTTTCATTTATACTTTTATTTTTTACATTCAGAACATTATGAATAACTAAGTAAGATAACAAGCTAAGATAATTATTATTTTAATATTACAGTAACTGAGTATACATATTGCATGTTAATATTTATATAACACAATAGCATAATACAAATGTCTATAAAAATGATATTGATAGATAAAAAATACTACAAAATCATTTCTTATGAATATTTTGAAGCATTTTAACTATAAAAATTCATTTCTTAAAAGTTACCAAAGCCTTACTTAAACTTTGAAAATTGTCCAAAATTTTATAAAATCAATTATCAATTGTATTATATTATATTATATGTATATATATATACATAAATATATATATAAATATATATATATATATATATATATATATATATATATATATATATATATATATATATATATATATATATATATATATATATATATATATATATATATATATATATATATATATATATATATACATATATATACATACATATATATATACATATATATATATATATATATATCAGGCGCGGATCCAGCATTTTTTGATGTTTGAGATAACTAACTTCCAGACATGGTACAAACCCCAAAAATTTATATGTTTATACTTATGTCAAATAAAGATGAATTGCCAAAAATTTGCGACGATTGTAGTCTGGGAACAAAAAAGCCCCTAAATTTTGGCCACACAAACCCCAAACAAGAGAGCAACAAGTTGATAAAATATTTTTTGTACAATTCTTAAGTAAATTTATATTCATCGATAAATTCTAAATTTCATACAATAATCTCTTAGTGTTCAAAAAACATGACCTTAAAAAATTTGTAACCCCCTCAAATTGAGGGGGGTTAAAGCTTTGTGCAATTATAATTTTTGAACACTAAGAGATTATTGTATGAAATTTAGAATTTATCGATGAATATAAATTTACTTGAGAATTGTACAAAAAATATTTTATCAACTTGTTGCTCTCTTGTTTGGGGTTTGTGTGGCCAAAATTTTGGGGCTTTTTTGTTCCCAGACTCCAATCATCACAATTTTTTGCAAATCATCTTTATTTGACATAAGTATAAACATATAAATTTTTGGGGTTTGTACCATGTCTGGAAGTTAGTTATCTCAAACATCAAAAAATGCTGGATCCGCGCATATATATATATATATATATATATATATATATATATATATATATATATATATATATATATATATATATGTTGGTGGGACTATATATATACATATGTATGTATACATATATATATCTATATATATATCTATATATATATATATATATATATATATATATATATATATATATATATATATATATATATATATATATATATATATATATATATATATATATATATATATATATATATATATATATATATATAAATATGTATATATATGTTGGTGGGACTGAAAACACCATGACCTAAAGTCAATAAAAAAAATACCATAATGATTTTTCTGGTTCCTTTTAATATATTTATTAAAAAAATAATTTTTTTTTTTTAAAGGTACCCCTACGGTTGGTCCTAGCAGTCCGAAAATAGAAAAGTTTCTAATTTTTGTAAATAATGAGGGGGGCAGGATCACTTACAAATATTTCAAAGATTTTTTTTTGTTGTCTGAAATTTATAATGAAGTCTTGACCAAGTTTAATAGCATGTTCTGCATTGTCATTTACAACAAGATAACTAGTGACATTTTTTTAAAATATAATATAACCCGAAAATGTTTCCCAGTTTGATGAATTGATTTTCAGCCATTCTGTCTATTGTCATTTTTTAATAAATCAAAGAAAAACTAGCTTTCAGGACCAATGAAATTTTCAATTTTTTTTGTTTGTTTTTATTCATTGTCAGTAAAAATTTCCAAAAAAGATAAAATCTCTTTAGTTTATCATAATTTATCTTCTTTTCAAGAATCAATTTTCAATTACATTTCAACCTTTCAAATAACTCAGTCTTTGGTTCACTTGTTTTGTACCACTTGAAAAGTGCTGAAATATATTTGTTTCAAACCATTTAACTAAATAAATAATAATAGTTAATAATAATGTCAATTATTTAATTCATCAAGAAATATTCATAGTTAAATATATAAATAAATATAAATATATTTTATGATTTTTTCAATATTTACCTTTATATGTAATTCATAGACATGATTATGACAAGCCATCCAAAGCAAAGTTTTTCCTTTCCAATGCTCAATTAGAGTATAGACTCCTTTTAGCCAACCAGTATTTGTGGCTGTGGTGTCAAAGGACAGACAATCAACATAGTCAAATAGCTCCCAGTCTTTTAAAGTTTTTTTGATTGTTTTTCCAAGAGACTTAGCAGTACCATCTTTTACAATTAAAATACCCAAAAGTTGGGATTTTAAAAAATCTCGTGAACTGATTAGTACAGCTATTCTCTCAATTTTTTCTTTACCAAGTTCTTTCATTTCTATCATAAATTTTGAGTCAAAATGCGCAGTAAGACTTTCACTATAAGAGAAGCAAGAGTTAGTAGAACTTATTCCATATAGTGATGTTGTTGGAGCTAAATCTTTTCCTATATTTTTTGAAATAATAAGAAGAACAGCATTAGATTTTTTAATTTTTCTTGGTGGCTGTAGATACTGTTCATCTTGGTCATTATCTAAAGTATTTAAAATTTTTGTGTTTTCAAATTTCTCAGTAACCAACTCTTTCTGTTTTCTCAAAGACCCTTTTGTTTCTTGATTTTATTTTTATTTTCTCTGTTTTTTTTTTTACAATTTTTAGTGAAATTTTATCTTTACCTAGCATTTTTTAAACACGCGCTTCTTTCTGATCATTAAGAAAATCTACATTTTCTTATCTAGTTTTTAAATCTTTAGTTTTATCTTTCATAATAATATCTTCACAATTGTTTTGACATCAAATACCTCCTCTAGCATTCTTGAAAAAAATTTTATTTTTAAAACTAATTTTGTACTGTCACGGAAAAAACTGTCCGCGGAGTAAACTGTCCGGTAGGACATTTTACTCCGGAGTAAGTAGTCCTAGGATATTTTACTCCGGAGTAAACTGAATATATAAACTAATGTTGTTGTGAATATATATATATATATATATATATACATATATATATATATATATATATATATATATATATATATATATATATATATATATATATATATATATATATATATATATATATATATATATATATATGATATATTATATAAAAATGTATAGTATGACATATATACACACACACACACACACACACATATATTTATACAAAATAATAATAATAATAGTTATTACTATTATTACCTATTTATTTGTATATAAGTCTAATGCAATAATATGTAAACTGCTTTAGTGCTCAAATGAAAATAACATGTTAGAGAGCAATAGAAAATTACAAACTATCAGTGGCTAAGGAGTAATAATATATGTACATAATCTTATATCTCAAGAGGCAAATCTTTTTACCTTCGTAGTGAGCAAATTTGGTGCGATTTCAGCATTGATTAAAAATAATGTATTATTTGGTTGTATATGCAGACAGGTTCATGCTTCTAAATATTAAATGATATAATTAGAGAAGCACATAGATAATTTGATCAAAAAAGTTTAACAAACTCGCTAATAATGGTTGACCATCATTACCAACATTAGGATGGTATAAGAGTTATGTGTTGTAGAAAAGAAAAAATTTCAACTGCTTCCTATTATTTATAGTTACTGAACCAACTTTCAAGCAAAACTTTCTTGATTAAATTTTTATCAATGATCCTGAATGTATATATATAGTAGAAATTAAACCACATCTTGACTCCACTTAGCTAAATCAGTTCTGTGAGATTGTTGTGCAATTACCTTGCTTATTAAAGTAGTACTTAAAGAAATATACCAGATTATAAACATGGTAAATGTGAAACTTTAAGTGAAAAACCTAATGTTATAAATTAGCATAATAATTTATATGGTAAAGGTGGTAACCAATGTTGTGATGTATTTATTGACCATCATAATAAACTAATAAACTAGAAAGTTTTTTGCCTATAAAATCTCTCTTCAGCTTCGATTAAACCAAATCAGTACCCAGATGGTTAAAAAAAAGTTATCAAGAAAGCTTTAAAGTATAGAATATTTCAAAAGGATGATTGGAGCATTAAATTAAATGTAAACTTAAAACTGAGTTCAAGTGTGTAAAAATCAGTATATATTAGTCATCAGTTTTACAGTTTGAAGATAGTGTTTCAATGCCTTCCGAAAAAAGAACAACTCAAATCTTATACATTAATAACCAGAGAGCAATAAAAACTGATGGGAGAAACAGTATAAATAAAAGTATAATGCTTGTAGAAAAAAAGTCTCAGACAAAAAAGATTACATTACATAACTCATTAAGCCAACAGATGTATTTACTTTACATTAAGCCCGACAATAGAACATCAATGACAGAGTTAAACCAACATCTCAACTATATCTCAACAATATCTTCTGTTTACAGTCAAACTCTAATTAAAAGTTTACATAAATCGACCTGGAGTTGGATATTTGTGTTTCCCAACCAGAGTCATTTATTATTGTTAATATAAAAAATCTTTTGAAATGTTCCGTTGCTCTAGAAAAATTGCCTTTCTTTTTCCGATTTTTTTTATAAGTTCTTGAAAATGCTTATAATTATATTTGTAACTTTGTTTTTTCATATATTTTTCTCTTTTAGTGGCAAACAAAGAATACACGAATTATTTAAGATATGGTTGAAATTTGGAAAGAAAGTAAAAATCAAACTAGTTTTGCTCTAAATTATTGTATATAATTTTAAAATTTTGAAACAGAAGTATTGCAAGTTTTTTGTTTTTTTTTAGTTTATTCATTTACTAATATAATTATCGTATATGCCCTTAATAAATGAAAGGAAAAAAGAACTTCACAGGTAGTGTTATACAGTGTAAAATTGTGCTTTATTTATCTTTACAGCGTAGGAATAACATCGTGAAAATGTTAGAAGAACGTTGGGGGACGTTTTTACGATGTTTGCCCAACGTCGTCAAAATAACATTGCAATCATTTTTTGTTTTGTTTGAAGCTTTAACCAACTGAGCTATCTAGCCACAATAACGTTATCAAAATGACGTTTTTCCGCTGTTTCATTTATAACATCATACCAACGCCTTTCCAACGATACGAAATATGTTGGAACAACGTTGCTCATAATATTTCTTATTGGGTGTATACAAGGCTCCTGTTTCATTCACAGACGCACTGATAAACAATAGAATGTTTACAATACTTCTTTGTTCTAAAAGATGTTAGATTTAGTTTTCCATCGTATATATTTCTAGTAGAGTAGGAATGTACTAGTCTACTCTCTGTAAACAAGATTGTAATGGAAAATGGTAAATTTTTATTTAAGTAGTCAAAAGCAAAGAGAAGATTAGCTTTACTAGCGCTGGAAATGTTGAAACGTTAAGTTTTTTGAAGAACTAGTTAGAAATAGTTACCAAATTGACCCCAAACTTGACAGCAGTAGTTAAGATAAGATGAGAATAATGTATAGTAAGCAATCTTAAGTGTAACTTTAACAACATAATGACGAATTATTGTCGCCACAAAAGTGAAGCAATCACTGTTCCGGGAGTAGGATCAATTGTCGCCAGAAGGCCTGCGGCCCATCGCTGAAAATTTCAAGACGCGTTTGGGCTTATGTATCGCCGCGGGAGTAGGCCACTTTGAAACCGGCTGATTATATTATTGCGGAAGGTCCATATTGTTGTTATTCATCGCTGTTTTACTTAGTTTTTGTTGGTTTAATAAAAAATGATTAAAAATATTTGTCTCCGTTTTTCCGGTCACCCTGTATATTATATAGATATCTATATCTAAGTAAATAAATCTTTATAAAACATATTAAAAAATTTGAAAAATAAAAATGAAAAGTTTTAATAACTTATCCTTTTTTTTGCAGAAGTAAAAAAATAAATAACTTTTTATTTATATTTGTTACTGATAAATAATCTAACTATCTTTAAAACTGTACTATATTAATTATTAAAATATTGTTTTTATTAAAATACTATATAATAGAAATGTAAGCTATTATCTTTTTTGATTGACACAATGTATACGTGTAGAAAAATTTTTTATAAACCATAAAAGTATGGAACTTTCAAGCACTAAACTTTTTCTATTAACTGTAAGCTTTAAAAAAAGAAAAGTTCTGTAAGTTCTATTGAGAATAATACTCAATAGAACTTCTCGTGTTGTAATAACTTTTCTTACTTTTTTTCTCCAAAAAATTTGCAAGAAAAAAATTAATATAAGCATCACTGTATCGCTATAGGCACCTTTCAATCCTTAATCCTTTTCTGTAATATGCTATAAGATAAATAACATAACTAAATAGAGAGTGGCTAGTACTTCTCTGTACTTTGAACACATATTTCATATGGATTGTTAAACGAGCTCTGTGAGTGTTTCCACATCTCGTATGTTTTTAGATGTGAATTTAAATGGTAAATGAATCGCTAACTCGAAAAAGGGAACATGTCCTTCAAAAATTCACATAACATGTCCCCTTTTTCAAGTTGGCGATTCATATGAAAATATAGTAACTAGATTAATTTCTAGAATTTTGAAATATCATGTTTAATCATAGTTATATTAGAAGAAACATAAAGGGTGGCAAGTTAGGTTATAATTTATGATAATATGAAAAGGGTAATACTATAAATGTTTTTAATTCAAATAACATGGGTAATATTATTATTCGGTAAATATTATTAAAAAGGGGTAATATTATTAATGCATTTAATTTAAACAACATGTACATATAAATAGGCACAATGTCCATAGATAGAATTAAATATAAAGTAAACAAAAAGTAAAAATACACCCATCCACAACAACCCATTCACTCGGACAGTCTTTTGTTAACCAAGTCGATAATATTCTGTTAACTATAGTGACAGTGAAATTTTTTGGCACAATCGCATATTATATATATATATATATATATATATATATATATATATATATATATATATATATATATATATATATATATATATATATTTATATATATATATATATATATATATATATATATATATATATATATATATATATATATATATTATTATATATATATATATATATATATATATATATATATATATATATATATATATATATATATATATATATATATATATATATATATATATATAGCTGTGAACATGAAAATAGCAATAATAAAAACTTATTCGTTATTACTTTATTAACTTAGTCATTATTACTTTTCTTCTGTATAAAAGAAGAGTAATAATGAAAGATATTTTTATGTGTGTATTTAAAATAATGAGATAAGTAAATTGAGCATACGAGAATTCAATACATCCAAGAATACCATTATTTTTAATAAAATTATTTTAATTGAGAGAACGCATTAAAATAGCATTGGTTTTAAAGTTAGTTTACAAAATTGAAAGAAATTTTTGTAATTTTCACAGGAAAAGTAAGTCTAACTTCAAATATAATATATACTTTATTTATTTGTGTATGCTCAATAGTAAAAACTTTTTCTAAACCTTCTAAAGTGGGACGAGGACGTCATTGTACACCAACAGAACGCAACATTATTTTTGAAGCATCGTAGAGAGGGTAAATCTTACTTATATATACAAAATATTCTCGGATGTTCAGCAAAGATGATTTTAAATACCTTAAATTTTAAAGCAAAAGTTGAATAACGAGGTGGAAAACGTAAAACTACCACACAAGAGGACCAAAGAATAGTAAGATATGTTAAAAGTAAACCATTTTCATCAAACAATCAAGTCAAAGATGATCTTGAATTACATGTGAGTGACACAAATGTTCGTAGGCGCTTAAGAGAGAACAGTTTATATGCATACAGTTAGCAAAGAAACATCTGAATTGGCCCATCAAAAAGTGGCGCACATATTATGGACCAATGAATCGAAAATCGTTCTTTATGGACGTACAGGTTCAAGACAATATGTAAGACGTCCATCTAATACAGAATTACAGAAAAAATATACCATTAAGTCTGTAAAATATGGTGGAGCCAAAGTCATGGTATGGGGCTGCTTCTCATATGATGGTGTCGGCCCTATTTATAAGATTAATGGTATCATAGACCAACATATATATGTCGACATACTCAATATTATCATGCTGTACTATGCTGTTGAAGACATGTTGCTAAAATGGGTCTTCCAACAAGACAACGACTCGAAACACACTAGTCAAATAGCAAAGGAGTGGTTTCTTGTCAATGGGGTTAAGGTTATGGAGTGGTCTGCTCAGTTACCCGACCTAAACCCCATTGAAAACTTATAGGAAGACGTTAAAAAAGCAGTTTCTGCTGCTAATCTAACTAATGCTCAGCAGTTATGGATAGCTATTCAACAAGCATAGTACGCAATATCCGAAGAAAAATGTGAACTCAATGTATCGGCGTTGCGAAGCTGTTATTAAAAACAAAAGCTTTGCAACAAAATACTAAGGTTAAATATTATTATATTATACTTATATTTAATTTTTTAATGTTAAAAAATAAACTTTTTTAATGCTTAACTCTCGAAAAAAAGTTTTTTTTCTATTTTTAGATACGACTGCTATTTCAATGACTGCAACCTTTTTTTAATATTATTGTTTTGTTTCTGAAATAAAATGTAAAACTACTATTGATGTGATTTTTTTTATTCTATTAGATTTAAGTATCAAAATAAATACAATAAAATTTTTTTAGTAATTAGTAAAAAAAACTTCTCAATAATATACAGAGACGATTTTACGGGTGTGTGAGTGGGGGGACGTTATATATATATATATATATATATATATATATATATATATATATATATATATATATATATATATATATATATATATATATATATATATATATATATATATATATATATATATATATATATATTTATATATATATATATATATATATATATATATATATATATATATATATATATATATATATGTGTATATATATATATATATATATATATATATATATATCTATACGTGTATATATATATATATATATATATATATATATATATATATATATATATATATATATATACACGGTTAGCACGGATCCTTATAATGCCTACCTAGCTGTCTTAAGAACCCACTTATACGGAAAGTTAGCGTACACATCAAGGTATCCTGTGATGCAAATTTTAAAATCATTTAATTTTGTCCGCGGAAAATAATTTAACTTGAATGTTCAAATTAAGTCTAATTTTGACTTCGTAGTGCACCAATAAAAATACTTGTAGAATTTAAACCACTCAATATAATTTGATAAAAATTAGTGCAAATGTAGCCAATAGTCACACCAAACTCTAGACAAAATTTCAGCCTGATTTGATAACTGGTGTAGGATTTATTGCAGTTTTAGTTGAAGTTTTGTCAGTTTTTTGCTACTTACACCTCAAAGCGTTACCGATTACTTTGAAATTCGATCACTATTTTCAAAATAACGGTTACATGAGTGTTCCACTATGTAATACCAACAATTTTTGTTATGATTATTTTATCGATACATTTATAGACCAAAATAGTGATTTGCTACTTAAAGCGTGATTCGAATTGGCTTATTCCGATGGCGTTGACACGACCTTTAAAGTGGAGGGGGTCAACTTTCTCAATTTCTAAAATAAAATCCATAATTTCTAAAATAATTGCCAATATTTCTAAAACAAAAGGTCCTTACAAAAAAAAGGATGTTTTTTTTTGCAAGGACCTTTTTTTTGAAACTACTCTAACTAAATAACTAATTTTTAAAAAAATTCGTTATTCAGTTAAAATAGTTTTTCCTCCAGTCGGAGGAAAAACTACTCTAACTGTACTCTAACTGTACTAAAGAGAAAAAACTACTCTAACTTATCAATAATGTAATTTTCTTACAAGTAAAGTTTAAACAATTGTTTCCTGGTAAGGAATGAACTATTCAAGAATTATTTCCTTGTTATTTAATATTACCTTGATTAAATCAAGTAAATATTTCCTTTATTTTAAAAGTTTTTAATTAATAATATGTGTTACTATGTTAAGTGGATTGTTATCAAATATAAATTTAGGTCAAATTTTGTAAAAGGTAGAGTTTGATTTAGTGAAGTCAAATTAAGTGAATTGTCACGATGCCAAATCAAGCAAAGAATCATGATGAAAATCGAAAGTTTGTGTGCTTGCTTTGTCTGAAAAAATGTTTAAGACAACTTACTACTTTTCAAGCAGATCAAATATGCTGATTGTATAAGGCCAAGATCAATATCAGTGATACTCGGGTACCAGGATTCTGCGAATTGTGTAGAATTATTTTGGGCAGGAAACAAGAGAGGAAAGAAGTTGCACTCCCTCCTTTGTTTGATTTTAAGTCAATACATGTGAGACTTGAAACAACAGGCACGATGTGTTGTTGCCTAATATGCCGAATTGATTGTTCAAACCTGCAAGAAAAACATCCTCTTATAGAGCAAACTACTATTAAAAAAAAATAAAAGATGCGTTGCATTAAGTAGAAAAAAACTATTTTGGTCTATAAAATTAAAACTGTACATGTACTGATAAAATAATTATAACAAAAGTTGTTAGTATTACATAGTAGAACACTCATGTAGCCGTTAAAACTGCAATAAATCCTACACCAGTCATCCAATCATGCTGAAATTTTGTCCAGAGTTTGGTGTGACTATTAGCTACATTTGCACCAATTTTAAGGTGCAATTTTAAGGGGGGGGGTTGGTGCGGCGCGGGGCCCCCTGCGATAGCCGCAGCA